CACACACACACACACTCCCAGAGCACAACTATAAAAGCCTTAGCATTCCAGTTTTCCAAGGTTTTTGCAGCGCATGCATAAGTGACACACAATTCTAATGAGCATCATAGTACCTCCCTACCCTCACTTTCTGGATATTTATCTTGCTGGGATCCTTTGACCCTAGCTGACTTTCTGCCCCTGGGGCAAGGGGCTGGACTTGATGATCTCTTGAGGTCCCTTCCAGCCCTAATGTCTATGAAATCTATGAAACTCCAAATGAATTTTAATGTTCACCGTTTCGTTGCTAAGGTATGGATCGTTATTCCAACTGCAAATCTGGTGTCCTAGCTTTCATTCAAACGTACCCCGGAATTAAGGCAGGAATCAAGATCTTGACAACATGCTTCAGAAGTTGACTTAATTTTTAGTATTTCAGTATATACAAAAAGTACATTTTTTTGTTTTTTAAATGTTCATTTAATAGATCAATATTTTCACAAAAACCTCAAATATTTCTATTTACACGTTAACTCCATCTCTGAGTAAGAGCCTAAGAGTCCAGTAGTGTTGCTGGTAACATAAGCAGCTCCTGTTTCCACGCTGAAACAAATAACCCAACCCCCAACCCCACATAGTCTTCATTTAGGTCTTATATGCGCCTTAAAAATAAAGTGCAGCAGTTTCCCCATCTATTCAGATGTCAACTTTCTGGATCACAAGCTACATAAAGTGATCTGACATGCTCAGACACAAGGTTCAACAGGTGCATTAAAAGGAAAACCCTACTACTGCCACCTGTCTAGTTATGTGGAGCACAGTACTTCTCCTGTCTCCGCTAAGAGGAATGACAGAAATAAACCTTGAAAACAGAACTTCCCACTTGCACAGTATGATACCGCTGGGGAGCATCAACAGCTGCAGAGTAAGACAGCACCCAGTTCAACTTTTCAGAAAAGAGATCGGGCCAGAACAGTTTATATGGACTATGTCCAACATAGTTTTTGAACATAAGTGTTTGTTCATCAAAATGTTATCCAGACAAGCAGCCTGTTGTAAATGTAATGTTTTAGCATCTACATTTTTTTGGTAGAGTACAATGCACTATTTAGCTGTTGAGAGGTTAATTTCTCTTCACCTAAAGTTGTACTCTATTCAGGCAAGAATGAAAAGACTGTTGTCAGTCAAATTACGTGTATTATTTTTTTTTTAAAGTCTTGAGCCTTTTACAAAAATAGTTCTCTTACAGAAAAAATTACCTTACCATCTTTTCTTTTCATATTTTTCCTGTAGAAATTCCTTTACTTTCTGTGGATCCCTGAAGTCTGGAATTGCTGATGATCTATCATCAAATAATCCTAGCCAAATCTGTTTACACACCTTATTTGGAGAAGATACAGAAAGAAAGAAAAAAGTTACCATTAAATAATGTAGAATGTATAAATAAGCTGGAAAATTAAGTTTGTAGCTATAAATAGAATGATTAACATCTTTAATATCCATTACTAATCATCCTGTGAGCTGCCCTTACAAGAGTTAAATGTCAGACAAATGCTGTCAGCAATACATTACAATACACAGCAATACAGGATACATCAGGAAACATCTTAGTGTGGACATAACTTTTACCAGAAAACCCCATGCTTTTATTTAGTCCCTCCAGTAGCAAAACTTCTATTGCGTTTTCAATGTACCTACATCTAAATAAGGACTTTTGCTGTCATACAAATGTTGATCAGCATGAGGAGCTGCAATTTGTAGTACACAGCTCCATCAGCACAAGTTTGTAGCAAAGATGTGCTCAGACGTAGAGATTTGACTTTACAATCCTTCAGAGGAAAGACTGAAGCTCCTTTCTATCTATACTCCTGATAGTGTGATGAACTCTGGTTATCACCAGCAGGTGCACAGTCCCTTAAAGACAGTCAGCTAGCACTCATTAAAACAATCCCTACACTACTTGATCCTCTATTATAGGAAGGGAATAGAGCAATGTCAATCAATTTATTCAGCTTCTCCTTTTTTTCCAGCTACCCTGCACGGAGTTCAACTCCAAATAGTTTCTTACGCCACTGGTAGATCTAATATTGCTCACAGAGCAATCCCTGCAGAATTCCAAATCATCACCAGCTACTTAGTTCAATGAGATAAGCAGAAATATAACAGATACAGGCTACAACACTGTTGAAAGCTATCTTCCAATACAAAAACAACTTACCTGCACCCTCTGAAGTGTTATTTGAAGAGAGACATGTACAAAAAGGACAACTTTTCAAGTATCTAACCTGAGAGAGTTAGGCTTGCAAAACACTCCATATAGGTAAGCTTTTTTCTTGAATTCTGTGTATTTAAATTTTAATAAATTCACTACTAAAAAACACAAGAGAAAAAAAATAAAACAAAACAAATTCAGCTAAACTAGTTGTATTTCTTCATGTAGCATTTAAGGTAAGACACCTCCGCTTCACCTGTGGGCATTATTCAGGTGCTTATCAACAGGAATCCTGGTTTTCCCTGATAAATCACAAATTCTCCGATTAAAAAAGTTTCACAAATTCTCTCATAAAAGCCACGAAACCTGTGGATTAAAATGAAAGGCCACTACGTGTATGGGTGTGTACATATGGGCATGCACCAGTTGAATACAACATATTGATATATTTACAGTTTTAAATAGATTTGAAAGCCTACCAATAATATAATGCAATAAATTCTAAATACCTATACATTTTAGTATTTGATTTTTGGGTTGTTTTTTTTTTTAAATCATGGAAAAAATCAGAGCTCCCCTTGCCCCCTTAGCTCACAGAATGCAAGTCCAGGCCGCTCACTCCCCACTCTCAGCCTCCTGGCCCTGCCAACGACCCTCACAATCCAACCCCCACCCCCCCACCCCACCCTGCCAGAGTGGGCCCC